TGCTGAAACACTTTGGTGGCCACTGTTGGTTGTTCTGCTCTGTCACTTTTAATAGGCCAGCCCAGCCTCCTTGTTGAGAACAAGGAAATAGAGAAGAACAAAGAGAAATGTAATTTGCCCAAAGCCTTGCAACGTTTTCCTTCTCGAACCTGTATTGCATCTGCTGGATCCCCTTGACAACAGTCTGTTGCTTCATCTGTTTATAATAACCCTAACAAGCTTTAGTACAAGCATCTATGAGCTGCCCTATAAAGTGTTCTCTTCTAAATCGCTGGCGATGGTTAAGGGGCTTTTTTTTTATTTTTAAAAAACAGTTAAGCCAAGCCAAATTTTGAGTTAAGTCCTGTGTCTCAACTAATTTCCAGCGACTCAATTCATTAGCTGCCAAATGGGCTGCATGCCAATGCCTGATCAACAAGCCAATTTCTTCTTGATGGAAAGGTTGCAGTAGAGAGGCCCTTGGCTCCATCAAATCCCTCTCATAAGCAGTATGATACAAAAACCTTCAAAATACTAGTCTTTCTAGTTTAATTTGAACATCAAATCCTGTTTTCTTTACCACTTCTGTTCATCAGGCCTCTGAAGAAAACAGAGAACTAAATTCACAGAGGATGAACTATCTAGAATGCATTTGTGATGGTAGGGTACACAGGGGCTCTGACAACTTACCAATAGCCTCCTCTGCTTGAATTCTCTGATCTAGATGAATCAGAAGAACAAAAATGCATGTGTTTGACTCTGTTCTATTGTACTGTAGGACTGTGTCTCTTCTAGTAGATAATGATAGTAATGTTACTAATCTGTCTCTCTATTCCAACCCACCAGTTCTAACAATAAAAACTAAAGCAGACCTAGCCAAACCCAAGTTCCTCTCCTCTTTGTGGAAAAAGTGATAGAAGCATCCCTGGGCCACCTAGTTGGCTCCTTTTGTGCAAGTGCATTTTGGTCTGGTATTTAGGAACTGCCCTGAAGTAATGGAGCCAGGTTATGTCTTAGCACACAGGAACAATCTCAACATTAGAGAACAAAAACCCCACATCTGCATCTTGTAAGGAAACACATTTTCTCTCAGGTTTGTAAAAACTTATGGCTATAAACAAGTGTGATGACAAACTGTTGGACAGAAGCAGTGAGAGAAGAGCTTTTCATTTGGTATTTTAGTGCCCCAAAATGGAGGTTCAGAAGTGTAACAAAAATAAAAAGTTACAAGGGACTGGGAAAAATATTGCTTTTTGGAACACTAGGAAAATACCTCCTTTAGTCTGAATCATCACAAATTCCCTTTACTGTCTGCTTTTCTCCTTTTGTTTTATTCAAATTTACCTCCTGCTATTTTTGTTTGATTTAGCCATGTTGCATCCAGATGCATACCAAAGATGATCATTTATGTATCCAGCTAGCAAAATCCATTATGCCGAATTTTTCAGCAGTTCAGCAATTGCAAGAATTATGCATGACCCCTGCTTCAAAAACTGATGCTGCAGGGAAGTGTAGCCTTGGCTGTTAACAGGGTGGGAACATCCTGCTCTCTGCACACCCACAGCATATGACCTTTCTGTCTTTCCTGAGTTGGATCAAGTCTCACAGGGAGACTGTACCCCCTTACACTTGGAATCCATCGGTGGGTTAGTACCTCTTAGGCCACTGCATCTGTATTCGGATGAAAGGTTTATTATTAGAGCTAGCTAACTCATTCTGATCAGCACTCTCTAAAACTTGAAAGGCAAAGAGGCACCCTGCCTTTTAAAGTGTGCTAAACTGGTCAAGTGAGAGTCTGAGGTGAGGTTGGGCTTTAACTTGCTTGTTTAGCACCTATTAAAACACACGCTGCTTTATTTACACTTGAGTATTTGAATGTGTTAGCCAGAATGCATTGGCAAATATGTTTAACTTTACACCTTCCAGTCTAGAATAAGACCTTACTTTGCATCACAGAGACTGTGTAGGATGGAATTTAGTTACACATGCATATACCATGAGGAAGAATGTACTTGACTTGTATAAACTAAGTTTGTTTTTGCACACACACATACCTGCTTAGAGGCATACAGATGCACAAACATCGAACACTGTAAGGATTATGGCTCTCAGCCTGTCAGCTAAACTCCCACTTCTTTTTCTCTACAGACATTTACACAGACACCTCCCCACACCAAGCAAATCTTCATACTGAGAGTATCTATTGGCCCAGAAACTGCTTTTGCCATTTCTTTACCTCCCTGGGCATGATTTCTAGCTTTTCTGGAGAATAGGGAACTAAGTGTTTAGAAAAAGGAAGATGAAAATCATAATTGGATTTCTATTTCTGATGTCAGCTGAAATGGAAAGGTACTTGGCTTTGCTTCCTATTGAGTAACACAGTTTGATGTTTGCTCTCTGGGCTAGGAAGTCTATAGGAAAATCCCAACATTGTTTTAAATTATGTCATTAATCAAATTCTGTGACACACACCACTTTCCAGCTCATGCCTCCTCTTTGGAATGACCTCATCCTAATAGTCCTAGAAAAATTGCTCTGCCAGTGAATTTAGTGAGAGTTTGTACTTAACTGGGACAAGGTGACTTTTGTGCATTCACCCTTTTTTTCATATGGTCATCAGAGCAGGCTAAAATACATGTAGGTTGTAGTGCCTTGTTTGCCTTGTTGTAAGATCATGTGTTCCATCCAAAAGTATGTCCAAAGACCCTTTGTTCTGCTGCTTCTTCAGGATGTTACCATCAATATTGCTCCATATCTTCCAAAATATATCTATATTAAGTCTTCCCTCAACCTTGGAACTGGAAAGAATAAGAAAAAATCTCTCCTTTTTGTTGTCCTTTTTTTTTCCCCTAAAAGACAGAGGGTATAGCTAAGGCACAGGATGGATTCATAGAACTGAGCTTTGAAGACAAGGAGGAGAAGGAGAATTTAATCTACTCCCTCTATAGTGGAGGCAAAGAGCGACTCCTTTGTTAGGCCCAGAGAATTGTTCAAAATTCATTGACATCATGTTGTTTGGTAACATGTTGAGTATTTGCTTATTTTGTTTCCAGATACATCCTGAACAGCAACTCTTTTAGCCATGAATGCACTTATCTCTGTCTTCTTTGCCATGCTAGCAGCTAAGTGCATTACAGAAACTGAACTAAGCCTTAATCTTTCTATAATAAGTTTGAATCTTTCTAGATTCAGTTTGGGTGACTTACTAAATTCCTGGTGCACAGTGTTGATCCTACTCTCTGACCTGAAGAAGGAGGGGCTTTTGCTCCTCTGATTTGTTAGGGTAGACAAGATGATGCATCCAAAGAATGTGCAATCAGACCTGTGTGAAACTTGGCAGAATGTCTTATCAGGGTTCAACTAAACCTTGTTTTCATTTTTGGTGTGCACATGTTCCTCTGTGTGCTTGCCCTTACCCTGATATTCACTTTGAAATTCAATTTTGAACAAAACCCAAACCTCAGACAGAAACTTTGTTGAAATCACCAGGCTTTTCCATTTTTTTGGTCAAATTGCTGGCCCAAATAAGCTGAAAGTTGGCGAATCTGTCAGCGTAGTGAGTGTAACTTTTGCATAGGCCTTGAAAATTCCTGTGTGGTGTGGAATGTAACCACCAAAAGACCGTACATATGTCAAATCCATATTATCCAGAGAAATGTAAGTATGGCTCAAGTTTGTATTTGTGGTACAGAGACATGAACAGAGAACAGTGAAATTCATAGAATCATAGAATTTTAGGGGTTGGAATGGACCTTATAGATCATCTAGTCCCAACTCCCCCTGCCATGGGTGAGGATACCTCCTCACTAGACCAGATTGCTCAAGGCTTCATCCAGCCTGGCCTTGAACACTGCCAGGGTTGGGACAGCCACTACCTCCCTGGGCAACCTGTGCCAGTGTCTCGCCACCCTCACAGTAAAAGATTTTTTTCCTAATATCGAGCCTAAATTTGCCCTCCTTCAATTTGAATCTGTTACCCCTTGTCGTATCGCTGCAGTTCCTAACGAAGAGTCCCTCTCTGGCTTCCCTGTAGCCCCTTCAGATACTGGAAGGTTGCTATGAGGTCTCCATGCAACCTTCTCTTCTCCAGTCTGAACAGCTCTAAATTCAGTCTTTCAGTATGGTGTTTTCCATTATTAATGAATATTAGTAGCAGACTCTCACAGACAGGAAAAGAAAGATGGTACATTAAGAAGTATCTAACAGGAAGGAAGAGAGGCTGGGTAAAAGCACAATGACACAGACTTTTGGTATTTTTTTAATTTGTTACAGAGGTGGCAATTGTTAGCAACCTTTTAATTTGCTTGAGGTGTCTTTCTATATTATGCTGTTCAGAGTGTGGTCGTGGATCTATCACTCTTGGTATACATTTTTGTAGGCTGAAAATTCAAGTGTGATGCATGTGGTTTTGCATTCAGACATTCTTAAAAGATGTGCCTACCTGAACAGCATGTTAGAGGAGGCAGGAGGTAAACAAAGCTATCTAGAGAAATTATTTGCCTCCCTTTTCATATCTTTGAATCCCCATGAATCCCAAGCCTGGGAACTTTAAAAGAAACATTGCTAGAATGATTGGTTTGAACTGAGTTATCTAATTCCATCCTTTTCTATTGATTTGTCTAGAGGGCTCTCTGCATGCTCTAATTTGACCCATCTGGATTTTTTAAGACTGGTTTTCAACAAAACTTGAACTTTTCCAGGGACTTTCTCATATATTGTTTTCATCCTCAAGTTCCATAATGTTAACCTGAAGAAAGGCAAATTTTATGGTAGAATATGGTAGAAACAGAATTCTAGTGATGTTAATAGTCAAAATAAACCTGCTCTACTATAAATGTAGTCTTTGATGTGTCATTTGGTAACTGATTAGCTCAGTATTTATTTATGATGGTTTTACTGTCCATTTTGCTACTGTAGGTTGACAGTGGACACTTGACAGTTCCATCCTTAATATGCATCCTCAAACTAAGAGCAAACAAACAAAAAGCCAAGGCCATTATAGGAGCTTTACCTTTTACTGAAGAACCTGCCTCTTTTAGTTATAACGCGTTCCTATGTGAATGTCATGGGATTGGAGTATGAAGGCAATACAGCTGACAGAGTGGGAATGAGTTCACCTCTGTTGGTGTACCCAGATTCTGGAGGTAGAAGCCTATGAGTAGTATTGGCTGAAAGTTTGAGCTAAGCCTAAAAATAGTTTTCAAGATATTCTGAACTCATAACTAAAAGTGTGGTGATAAGTCTGTATGAAAATGTATGTTGTGTGTATTAGCACATATGTGACAATTTGAAAGAATCCATTCAGCCTTGAAAATGCAGCAGCTGTTGAGGTGAACCACAATAGTGTTTGGTGGTAACTGCAACAAAAAACACAGCAACCAGACAGTAGTGTGGTAAGGTGATAGAATATAATTACCCTGAAACTATGTAACACACCATTATTAGCTAGTCTGTTTTCCCTCTTTTTTTTGTTGGTTTGGTTTTATTAAATACCTGGGAATTATTCTGTGAACTTTAGGCTAAAAACTAGCCAGCTTTTAAAGATGCAGGGTTCAATCATATGGTATCTTCTAAATAAATTGCCTTTGGTCTACTTTCCTTGTTTTTCCTACCTGTTTTTTGTTGTTGTTTTCAGGTTTGTGACCAGGTTTATTGAGCTGGATGGCCTGAGCTGTTTACTGAACTTCCTGAAGAGCATGGACTATGAGACCTCAGAGAGCCGTATACACACATCCGTTATAGGGTGTATCAAGGCACTGATGAACAACTCCCAAGGACGGGCTCACGTTCTGGCCCATCCAGAAAGTATCAACATCATCTCCCAGAGCTTACGGACTGAGAACATTAAGACCAAGATTGCTGTGCTGGAGATCCTAGGGGCTGTTTGCTTGGTACCAGACGGTCACAAAAAAGTCTTACAAGCCATGCTTCACTACCAAGTCTATGCTGCAGAAAGGACAAGATTCCAGGTACAAGGAGGATAATTTTTCAGAAATACCCAGCATGATGAAACTCCTCAGGGAGTGATATTTACAGTGTATATATTGCAAACTTGCTAAGTAGTAAAAAGGCAATTTCTCGTTTTGTTTTAGGAAGGGAACTTCCTCAAATAGATTATCAGCATA